TGAATATCTCCAGAGAAGGAGACTCCACAACCTCCCTGGGCAGCCTGTTCCAGTGCTCCGTCACTCTCACTATAAAGAAGTTCTTGCGCACATTGGTGCGGAACTTCTCATGCTCCAGTTTTCAGCCATTTCCCCTTGTCCTGCCTCCACACACTGCTGAAAAGAGTCTGGCCTCGCCACTCTGCCCTCCACACCTCAGATATTTATAGACCTGGATCAGGTCCCCTCTCAGTCTTCTTTTCTCAAGACTAAACAGCCCCAGCTCACTCAGCCTTTCATCACAGGGGAGATGCTCCCAGGCGGTCAGACCCTTTTTCTACATTTTGTGGGCCGCCTTCTTTCCTTTGAGTTTGCGCATGAGCTCCTTGCTCATCCACACAGGTCTCCTGCCACCCTTTCCTGATTTCTTGCCCACAGGGACGCACCGATCCTGGGCTTGGAAGAAGAGCTGTTTAAATGCCAACCAGCTCTCACAGGCCCCCTTACCTTCTAACACCCTAGCCCACGGGGTAGCTCCAAGTAGGTCTCGGAAGAGATCAAAGTTGGCTCTCCTAAAGTCCAGGGTAGCAATCCTACTTTTTGCTTTAGTTCTTCCACTCAGGATCCTGAACTCCACCATCTCATGGTCACTACAACCCAAGCTACCCCCAACCTTTACTTCCCTGACAAGCCCTTCTCTATTAGTGAGAATAAGGTCCAGCAACACCCCTCCCCTCGTCGGTTCCTCAACCACCTGCATCAGCAAGTTGTCCTCAACACATTGCAGGAACCGTCTGGACCGTGCGTGCCTGGCCACATTGCTTATCCAGCAAATATCTGGATAACTGAAGTCCCCCATAAGCACAGCACCTGGGATCGTGATGCTGCTTCCAGTTGCTTATGGAAGGCCTCATCAACTTCCTCCTCCTGATCAGGAGGTCTGTAGTACACTCCCACAACAGCGTCGGCCATACCAGCCCACCCCTTGATTCTCACCCACAAGCTCTCCACTGCTACACCACTCTCCCCGGCTGGAGTTCAATACATTCTAGCTGCTCTCTCACATAAAGAGCAACTCCACCACCCCGCCTCGCCAGCCGATCTTTCCTAAAAAGCACATAGCTCTCCATGACAACATTCCAGTCATGCGAGCTGTCCCACCACATCTCCGTGATTGCAATGAGATCGTAGCTGTGTGACCACATGCAGATCTTCAACTCTTCCTGTCTATTCCCCATACTGCACGCATTAGCGTACAGACACTTAAGGGAAGCAGCATTCCCCTGCCACTCTCCATCCCTTCAAACTCCACCCTCATCACCCATCAAGTTATCTTTTGAACCTCGAACTACCTGCACAACCTCAGCAGCCCTCTTTTTATCCCCTTCCCCCTTCCTACCTAGTTTAAAGACCTTTTGATGAGCCCCACCAGCTCCTGGGCTAGGATCCTTTTACCCCTTGCAGACGGCTGCAGATGGAGCTCACCTGTCATGCCAGGAGCCAAGTAAATTGCCCCATGGTCAAAAAAACCAAAATTCTTGTGCCTGCACCAACCTCTAAGCCATTTATTTATGAGAAAGGTTTTTTTGATCCTCTCAGTGTCCTTCCCCGCCACTGAAAGGCTAGAAGACCACCTGCACTCCCACACCATCAAGTACCCTCCCCAGATCCTTGAAGTCATTTTTGATAGCCCTCAGGCTTCTCTTGGCAGCATCATCACTGCCAACCTGAACTACCAATAAGGTGTAGTAGTCAGATGGACGAATAAGCCCAGGAAGCCCTATAGAGATATCCTTGACTCGGGCCCTAGGGAGGCAGCACACTTCCCTCCAGGTGGGATCAGGTTGACATATCGGGCCCTCAGTTCCTTTTAGAAGGGAATCACCTATGACTACGACCCTCCTTTCTTTTCTGGAAGAGGCTGTCTTCAAGTGTGGAGCCGACCACCTCTCCTTAGGAAAGCTCGGAGGCTGTTCCTTCACCTCATTCTCAGCCTCCTCACCCTCCAGTTTCAGGGTTTCAAATTACTATTACTTAGAGGCACCCGAGGAACCGAGGTAGGTTGGGATGGGCACCGCCTGCGTCGCCGAGGTGGGACCTGCTGCCATTCCTCCCCTCCTCTCAAGTCAGCCCTCTCAGTTTGACCACATCAAGGGAGAGGGTCCACTACAGGCTGGGGGTTGCAATCTCCGCTTGTTTCTCGCAGAGAGTCACGCCACCAGTCTATCTCCCCCTCACACTCTCTAATGGTTCTTAACCTCTCTACCTCCTCCCTGAGCTCCACCACCAGGCTGAGCAGCTCATCCACCTGTGCACACCTCATGGCATCCCTCCCATCCTCCCCAGGCAGCAGCAGGCTCTGGCACTCCCTGCAGCCAGAGACTTGAACCGCCACAGTTCTGGGCAGTCCCTCCATCTGGGGCACCACAGCCACCTTGGATCAAGCACACCATCTGGTAGAGTCCATGTTTGAACTTGCGGTCTCCGGGTCAACCAGTAGGAGAGCGGTCACCTGAGCAAGGACAAAAACACTGACATGTCCTGCCACAGGACCCACCTCCCACACCTACTGCTGCAGTCATGGGCAGCATGGGCTGCGCTCACACTCTGCCTTCCCTCCCTGTTAGCAGGGGGCAGTAGCACCCTTTTCTCGTTAGGCACAGTAGGTGGGCAGGAGACAGCTGAAGGACAATCAGAGATTCCAAAATTACCCTAAGAAATCAAGGGTAAGAGTTATAGAAAGAGTACCAGTGACAACGTGGAACCTAGAGAATTTCACTGTTCTCAATAGAAGAAAGAAGCCACCTGAAACAAAAGACTTAACTTTGGCTTAGTTCATGGCGTGACAAGGGATGTTAGTCCCCCTAGGGCTTCCAGAAGGGACAACGGGCCCTATGTAGAGTTGACAATATTCTAGTCCCAGAAAAACATCCAGAGAGTTATGGCACTTGTTTCTGCTCCAGTATCAACATCAATTATCTACGGAGATCCGACCAAATTTGATGGAGACAGAGTGATGATTGGTGGTTTTGGGGGACAGACTATTCCTGTCACACAACCATGGTTGAAACTGGGAGTTGGGCATCTCCCACCCAAGGAGTATAAGGTGTCTATTGCCCCAGTCCAGGAATACATCTTGGGCATAGATATTCTGGGTCTGGCTCTCCAGACAACTGTGGGAGAGTTCAGACTTCAACAGAGATGGATCAGTATCCGGGCAGTGCAGGCAATATTAAGAGGCCATGCGAAACATGGGCCTATTTGCCTGCCAAAACCACACCAGATTACTAACATAAGGCAGTATAGACTCCCAGGTGGGCAAGATGAAATATCGAGAACAGTGCAGAAATTAGAAAAAGTGAGCATTAAGTCCCTACAACATCAAAGCAGCTGCAAGAGTTTCTAGGTAAATTAGGTTACTGGTGTTCCTTTATACCTCACCTAGTGCAGCTGTTAAGGCCACTGTACTCACAAAAAAGGGGCAGCTATGGGACTGGGGGAAAACAGAACAGGATGCTTTCCAACAGGCAAAACTGGCAGTTAAACAAGCCCAGGCATTGGGTATATTTGATCCTACCCTCCCAGCCAAGTTGGATGTTCACATTACTCAAGACAGGTTTGGTTGGGGCCTGTGGCAATGCCAGAGTTCTGTTCAGACCCTATTGGTTTCTGGTCTCAGGTCTGGCATGGAGCAGAAGAGCCCTGAAGTCCCTTTCGATCACCCAAGAACTTCTTTTGCCTACCTCTTCATTTCCTATGTGGAAAACTAGTAATGGATAATAATCAGAGAGCTTGACCAGGTGAGTGATGTTCCTAGCAACATCTGTCACCCAGGCACCAGGCAGGCAACACACCTCCCTGTGGGATGGATCTGAGCAGCATATTGGGCCCCTGGTTCCCCTCAGAAGGGAGTCAGTCACCTGTGATGGCAGCCCTCTTTTTTTTTTTTTCCTGACTGATGCTGTAGCAATACAAGGAGCAGACTGACCAGCCTTAGGCAACCCCTCCTGCATGGATGGACCCTCACTGACATCCACATCCCCCAGTCTGTCCAGCTTCAGAGCCTCATACCTGTTATATAAGGGCACCTGGGAGAGTGGGACAGGCTGAGGGGCAGTCCGCTTGTTGCCCCGAACAGGGACTTGTTCCCATCTTTCACTGTCTCTGAGGTCACCCCCTCCCACCTGACTGTGAGATGGCAGATAATTCCCATTGCCTGAAGAGCATCTCCCCACACCCTTCCTGTAGGGACGGCAGAGCGCAACTCCACCAATCAATCCCCCTCTCACCATCCTGGATGCTCCTCAGCCTTTCTACTTCCTCCCTTAGTTCCACCACCAGGCTGAGCAGATCACCCACCTGCTCACACCACACACAGCTGGTATCCCTGCTGCCCTCCTGTAGCAGTGAGAGGGCAAGGCATTCTCTGCAGCCTGAGGCCTGAACTGCAGTGTGGGCTTACATACTTCCAGTATGAGTCTCCACATCCCTTTTAGCATCAGGATCATTAAGCAAACAATCATCAAAGTTGGGAAAGACCTCTAAGATCACCTAGTGCAGCCGTCAGCCTGTTCCCACCATGCCCACTCACCACATCCCTCAGTGCCAATCTCTGTGGCTCCTGAACACCTCCAGGGACATTGACTCCACCACCTCCCTGGGCAGCCTGTGTCAGTGCCTCACCACTCTTGCCGAGAAGAAATCTTTCCCAATACCCAACCTGAATCTCCCCCGGCACAATATGAGGCCATCACCTCTTGTCCTATTCCACCTGATAAAAGAGGCAAACCCCCACCTCACCACAGCCTCCTGCTGTCAAGGCAGTTGTAGAGTGATAAGGTCTCCCCTGAGCCTCCTACAGAGGAGATCATCTCAGTGAAATTGGAGACCTCACCAGTGGATGCACTGCACAGGACCTCCCAAGTGCCAGCAAAGGCTCTCCAAATCTCACTGCAACTGGGGCTCTCCAGCAACTGTGGATCTGGATGATGGTAAAGTATCAGGGCAATTGGTGATGTATCTTTCTCAATAACTATCACTATCCTCATGTAGTAATGCTTAGGTACCTTGCTCTATATTATTCTTGCTGCATCATTTCACTTATCTCATTGCTTTAAATTTAAGTAAACACACTTCCCCAACTTTCTGTGACTTTTGTGCTGATTCCTTCCACTGGCAACACACACTCTCAGCCTTCTCCTCCTCCAGGCTGAGAAGCCCCAGGTCTTTCAGCCTTTTTTCATCTTTGTTGCCCTCTGGTGGACTCTCTAGGAGATTCCTTTTTTAAACTGAGGAACCCAGAATTGTACACAGCACTCCAGATGTAACTTCACCAAGGCAGAGTAGAGGGGGAGGAACAAATCCCACAACCTGCTGGCCACACTCTAAATGCATCCATATGCCTTTCTGAATATCCTAGCAACATCTTCGTACTCTTATTGAGTTGCCCGCCCCTTCTTCCAAAGTTGGTAAACTTTTTGTTTCCCCTCTTGAAGTCTCAGCAAATCCCCCTGTTCATCCAGCTCAGTCTCCTCCCCCACAGCTGGGCACAAGAGCAGCCTGCTGCTGCACCTTTAAGATTCCCCTTCTGAGCAAGGTCCAGCCTTCCTGGACCCCTTTGACCTTCAGAACTGACTCTCAAGGAACTCTCCCAACCAATGTTCTAAACAGAACTCTATTTACTCCATGGTTGCTAAGCTCAAGACAGCTTCCAGCCACGACTCTCTCCAGCCCTTCCTGCTTTGTGAACAGCAGTTCTAACTGAGCGTTCCCCTGGTAGGCTCTTATCAGCTGTGTCAGGCAGTTATCATTTTCCACACAGTCCAGGAACCTCCCAGACTTTTCTCTCTGCTGTATTTTATCTCCAGGAGATGTTGGGTAAGTTGAAGTCCCCCACAAGAACAAGGGCTAGCGACGGTTAGACTTCTGCCAGTCACCTGCAGAATGCTTCATCTGCCTCTTCATCCTGGTTGGGTGGTTTATAACAGACTCCCACCAGGATGTCAGCTTCGTCAGCCTTCCCCTGATCCTCACCCATAAGGACTTTATAAGTACCCACACTGAGTTCTACAAAATCAAAACACTCTCCAACATTGAGAGCCATCCCACTGCTGCTCCTTCCTTGCCTATTCCACCTGCAGAGGTTATAGCCATCCGTTGCAGCACTCCACTCATGACAATGATCCCACCATATTTCATGACGGTGACTACGTCAGAGAATCATAGAATCATTAAGGTTGGAAAAGATCTCTAAGATCATCTTGTTCAACTAGCCAACTACCACCAATACTGCCCACTAAATCATGTCCCTCAGTGCCACATCTGCACTTTTCCTGAACACACCTAGGTGCAGTGACTCCACCTCCACCCCAGCAGCCCGTTCCTGTGCCTGACCACTCTTTCAGAGAATCAATTTTTCATTTTTCCTAATACCCAAGCTGAACCTCCCCTGGAACAACTTGAGCTATTTAACTTGTCCTGTCACTGTTATCTGGGAGAAGAGGCTGAACCCCACCTCACCACAGCCTTATTTCAGGGAGTTACAGAATCACAGAATCACCAAGGTTGGAAAAGACCTTGAAGATCATCCAGTCCAACCATTCAACTACCACCAATATTTCCCCACTAAACCATGTCCCTCAGTACAACATCTAAATGGCTGTCGAGCACCTCCAGGGACAATGACTCCAATTCACTGGGCAGCCCATTCCAGCACCTGACCACTTTTTCAGAGAAGAAATTTTTCCTGACATCCAACATGAATCTCGACCCCCCCAGCACAACCTGAGGCCGTTCCCTCCAGTCCTACCACTACTTATGCAAAAGAGGCCAACCCCACCTTGCCACAACCTCCTTTCAGGAAGTTGCAGAGAGCAATAAGGTCTCCCCTGAACCTTCTCTTCCCAGGAGGAAAAAATCCCAGTTCCTTCAGCCACTCCCCATAAGCCTTGTGCTCCAGATTCTTCGCAGCTTCACTGCCCTTCTCTGGACACCCTCCAAGGCCTCAATGTCTTTCTTGTAGTGAGGGACCCAAATCTAAACACAGCACTGAGATGCAGCCTCATCAGAGCTGAGTACAGAGGGATGCTCACCTCCCTGCTCCTGCTGGCTGCACTGTTTCTGATACAAGCAAAGATGCCACTGGCCTTCTTGGCCAGCTGGACACACTGCTGGCTTGTGTTCAGCTGAGTGTTGACCGACACCTTCATTTCTCCACACAGCTTTCCAGCCACACCACCCCAGGCCCATAGCACTGCATAGGTTTGTTATGATCAAAATACAGGACCCAGCCCTGTCTTGTTGAACTTCATCACACTGTCCTCAGGCCAGTGATCCAGCAAGTCATAGTTCTCCCACCACACAACAGCCCCAAGCTCCTCCTTCCTGCTGCCCATGCTCTCTGTACTGGTGTGGACACAATCCAGCTGGGCCAGTCTTACACCTAACTCTGACATGCTGCCCCCTAAGCTCATCTCTACGGGGAAGGGAGATGAGACCAAAATGTTCCTTTCAACTTAGTTGAAAGTCCCCTCAATGAGCCCTGCCAGCTCCTGGGCTGGAATACTTTCTCCCTTTTGAGACATCTGTCACCAGTAAGCCTTGTGCTGTATAAACTGCCCCCACAATCAAAGAAAAAAAAAATCCACTGATGGTACAAACCTCTTAGACACATGATAAGAACACAAAAGCTCACCTGATCAACATCTTTCCTTGTTTCTGAAGGGATCAAGGAAGACACCGAGCTCCCACTCCTTCAGCAAGTTGTCCTAATACCCTTGATATCTCTTGAAAGCCCTCAGACCTCTCTGCACCATCACTGCTGACTTGAACAACTAAAAGCTGGTCCTTGGATTATTACCTCACAAGAGCAGGGAGGTTCCAAGTGGCCCCATGGGGAGGGTCCAGTCAGTACATTGGGCCCTCTGTTCCCCTCAGAAGGGAGTTGCCTATGACAGTTACCCTTCTTTTGTTCCCACAATTCATTCAACAGGCAAGCTGGCTTTATTATTTTTCAACTGTATAAACAGATAATCTGGGTCTTCTATGCATTAATAGGAAATTCTTTACATTATTAACATAATAAATAACATTTACTCAGCTGTGTGAGCACACTACTACCAAAATAGATCTCTCATTAAAGCACGTATTTCAAGTTAAAAGCAAGATGCCAGGACCAAATGAATGACTTGGCATTTGCAATTTAAAACATGTTTCATCTCCCTCCCTTACCACCCAAAGCCACGGACAAGACCATATCCTATAGCCTTTTCATTAAATATGAGCTCTGAAGAAATATTTCACCCTTCAGAATCAAAGCAATCCCATCATTAAAGCAAAATAATCTGTAAAGTCACTTCTGCATACTCAAGCATCCATTGCCATTCATGCTGACAAATGGAATGTGCAGGACTAGGAACACTTTTTGAGGAGAACTACAGAAAAACACTTCTGAAGGAGTTTACCTGTTCTCCCTTTTACAATCACAGTTTGAATAATTGCAGCTGGGCACACAACAGAACAGACAGAAGCCCTCAAGACTTAAGGACCTGCTGTTGCTTTCAAGAGGACACATCTGAAGAAGCCTCCCAAAGCACAGGAGTTCTGCAACACTGTGATATCACAGTGGCATTTCACACAAGCCAACCCACATAAACAGTGTTGTTTGGCGTGCAGACCAAGAAAAGGGAGGGACTGTTGGAATCCTAACACAAAGGGAAGTAGTAGAAACCCACGTTTAGACACAGTGGCCAGATAACTTGAAACGTGGAATGAGTTTTAAACCAGACCATACAATCACCCACAGATGGAAGAATTAAGGACCTCCATTTGAAAACCATGCTTAGCATACAGTAGTCTCTCACATGGCAAGAATGGCAGCTGTTTTATATCCAGAATGTGACTGGGATGGTTTCAAAAACATCTGCACAGCAGTCAGTAGTCCCAGCTGATATCATCCTTCTGTAGTGAGGTTTGTATAGTCTGCATGTCTCTCAGCAACTGAAGGTTTTTACGGCTCTTCTCTCCAGGTTTCACTTTGATGGGACCAGCATCCTTTCCTTTGGTGGTTACTGTTGTTGTTACTTTAACCTCACTCACAGGAAACTTGCTGTCTTTTTTGTGTTTAGCAGAAGCCTTTTTGGACTTGCATTCTCTTTTAAGTCTCTCTAGCTGAAAGGAAAGCCCAAATGAGAACATTAATCACTGACATTGTTTTGGTTTAAGTTCTGCAATTCTTCCAGGTAACTGAGAAATCCCACCACTCAGCTTGGTCAGCTACACAAACAGATGCTTCTGCACTGCCCTGAATAAGAAGCACCTTAATTTCCTTACATGGCATTGCTATATTCAAAACTTCAGAGCAGAGTTCAGCTTACTGAACACAATCTGAACTATAAGGTTCACTCCTTAAAAATCGAGAAGTTGCTTATGGTTTTAGGGGGAATGCTTCCACCATGAACATAAAAAAGTGTTTATTTGTCATTGTTATAATCCAGTGATTAAAAAACAGACAAAAGATTTTCCATATATGTACTCCTGATCTTAGCAACTCGTCACTGCCAGAGATGGAGCTTCAGGGAGAATACCAAGACACCACTGAGACAAAGAGCTGGTATTCACACACAGCTCTACAAACCACAGCCATACTCAGCAACAGAGTTAGCACAAGGTTGTATGGCAACTGGACAGTCCAAGGTGCAGACACATTCACACCATCAAAACGCAGAATGAGTGGTATCCTCAGCTCCCCCACATTACATAGAGGTCATCTCCCCAGCCAATTTATGAGTCCACATTGAGGAGTGTCAGTGAAAGCCCATGGGAATCAGCTGAGGTTATCAGAAGTTTAGAATTTTCTTCAATGCCAAGAAATAGCATTGCATGAAGCCATGTGCAGCTGGTTGTCACCATGATCCTCATGCAAAACAGTTGTAGTTCACCACAGATGTTATGTATGCTGGGAATGAGAGCAGGACTGATCCAAACATGCAGCTACCTGATGTGCCAGGAGGCACGACCAGAAATACCTCCCAGACTGAACACTGAGGTCCAGCACCTCTCCCATTCCATTCCCACTCTATACACTCAACTTGCAGACTGCTCACCCAGCTTACAGTGTGTTTACAGACTTAGCAGCTGTGAAACTTGCTATTGTACTGTAGGTGACCTTTTCCTGTTTTGCAGATGAGAGGAGTATAAAACATAATGCAAGATCAGATGCAAAACTCTGCCCAGGACAGAATGGAGAGAGGGCACATGGGTAACATGGTAAGGCAGAAAGCATCCTTCTGCAGGAATACTGGAACAGAAAGATAGAGGCATGCAGACTGACTTTGGGACATGAAGCTAAAGCTAGGCACTATGCTATAATAGTTATTTCTGCTTCACACTACGGCTGCTACATTAGAATATACAATACAGTAAAAAAAATAAATATAACAAGTTCACAGAAGCATGATCACAGGCAAGTAACTCACCTGCAGCCAATGCCTTCGGACTTTGCTGATCTGGTCTGCCTTTGCCTCCATCTTTCCCACTAGTGCCTCCAGTTCCCTCTCCAGATCTTCCCTTACTGCAATGGTTGGAGCTTCCTGGACAAGCTTAGACAGCTGCTGGTGATCACTAACACAGAATATAGACAGATCAAAGCTTGCATTAGACTTAGTGCTGGTATACACAGCCACAGTAGCAGCAGCCCAACAAGTTCAGCATGCCATAGTGAACCAGTAAGAACACTTTTGTTAGTGGGTAGCATCATTAAGTTTGCACATCCTAGCAGCAGGCTGCTGCAACGTGAAGTTGTCAATAACCAACAGTTTCAAACTTCTACATACACAATTAAAATTAATGACCCCTTAAGGAATAGAACTCAGCACTTGTTCAGTCACTACTTTATACATTTGTTTCTACGTTTCTACTGCTGCTGGGCTGTCAGACAATTCATAGTCTGTTAGCCAGATGAGCAAGAGAGCTAGTAAAGCTGTCTTTCCATGGAATGTTTGTCCAATGCATTGGGGGCTATTGTTACACTTCTCCCCAACCCCTCCAAAACATGATACTGCTGCACATAAACACACATATGGAGTTTCAAGGGACTACCAGAATCAATCTGTAACTGCAAAGAGAAAGGAAAACTTCTGCAGCTATAAGAACAAATAGATTGTATGCCATAGACTTCCAAACACAAATGCTTTCCCCAGCAAAACTTTCCAACTTCAAAGCAAAAATAGAGCATATGCATTTGCAGTCTGCAGTGTTGAATATATCAAACTTACAAACTCATCTGCCCAAACTCGTCCTGTAAAGTCAGCAGAACTTCTGAGAGCTCTTCCTGTGATGAAGAATAGTCCTTTGGCAGAGCTGGCTTTCTGCTTCTGCTGGCAGGACGACCAGCACTGATGGATTTTGCTAGTGGAGTATCATTCACCACACGATTGTTGCACAAAGCTTTTGTGTGATGTTTCATGAGGTGTAGGACGTGTTGTACATTGGCACCAACTGAATGGCTGGGACTCGTAGACTAGAAGGAAAATACCTCTTTTAAGTGACACTGTCAACCACCTACTTATCTTAGTGAAAAACATGAGAATTTATTTGCTGCCAATGTATTTTTTACATTTGAGTGGATATGCATAACAGGAATAGCCTGACCAGCAAGCAGCACAGAAGACCCATGTTAGGAAATACCAGTTCAGCAAGCTTTTTGAAGATAAACTGGAATAAAAGAGCCAAAAAAAAACAAGATCTGACCACTGGGTGTCAGGAGTGCACCATGCCAAAGCCATTTAAAGAGCTGCAGCTACTGAGCATTAAGCTTTGGAATTCAGCAGCTCACCTTCCCAGCTACAAAGGGTACATCACCCAGACACAGTCTGTAATGGGGCTGCGTAGTGAGATGGCTTGTAAGAGAGCATTTCTGAAAGGAAAGAAGAGAGAAATGTTTATCAAAGATGACACTACAGCAAACCCACAGTTCCTCAGCTTTCTGATAAAAGAGGCAGCCTACTTTCTGACTGCATGCACACATTTATTTCACTTCTCAGTAACCACCCTTCTATTTCCTGTTACCTTCTCTGGCTGCTTAGTTTTTTTCCTGGGTTTTCTTGCTTTTGGAGAAAGCAGTGGTGATGCTGCTTGAATCAACAGTCTGTTGGTTTCCAGGCCTGTCTGAAGCTGCAATTAAGGGAATGAGGAAAATGATTAAAATTATATTAACAGATTATCAGAAAGGAAGTGCTCAGTTTGGCAACACAGCAGCTTTTAAAATACAAGCTCTTTGAAAGCAAGGGCTGCAAGCGTGTAGAATGCTTCTGCAGCCTAATCTAAACATCAGACAAGAACACTTCCTTCAATAACACTTCTCCTCACTAATCCCAGTAAGTTAAAGAATGAATTGTACCGAATAACTCCCATGCAAGCAGGTGTCAAAACAACAGCTGTGTTTTATACTTAAAAAAAATATTAAGGAATTCAAGTGACCAGCCCTCCTCCATTGATTTTGTGGCATATACTTCTTATGGCTTTAGAAATCATCTCCCAAGCAATTTTAACTAGAAGCAGTCACAAAACACTTACAATTAACTTGAGCTTACCACTTACTGGAAAGGTTATAGACAGAGCCTGCTATGTTACTGAAATATTTTCAGCATACAGCTGATGAGTATGTAATGACCACAGAAGAAGGCCAGTGTCCTCCTTTACAGATTCACAATCTCTTTTTGCCTCCTTATGCAGTGTTTCTAGTTATAAAGGGAGCACGCTTCTTGACCTTCATCTATTTAATGCAGAGATCTTCATACACCCCTGGCTACAAATTAGTCTGAAATTCTTTTCCAACTAGCTTCTCTTATTGAAAAAAATAGAACATAACTTAAGTGCATGGATGCTGTTAAAAAAAGGTTTCCAGAGCACTCAGATGAACATCAGATGAGGATGGCGTGAAGTTACATCTGCATTCTGTATGAGGCAGACATTATCAGCAAATTTAGTTGAGAAGTTGATGAATTAGGAAGAACTAATTACAGTGCATAGCAGTACAAAAGAATTTTCCTGCTGTTACCTCAGCTGCTTTTTCCTGAACGAGCTTCCTTGCGTGTTCCTCCTCCTGAAGTTTCAGTTCCAGCTCTTTCATTTTTTTCTAGTCAAAGTTGAATGAAAACAAAAGCATTACTAGCAAAGCAAATTCTTTCTTCATGAAGTGTACAATACTGAGAGGTTCAGCAGAAGTTTATCAGCTCAACTTGCAGTGTTAAGACTTCAGAAGTAAAATCACTGAAGCAATATCACCTATACAGGCATAAATAAAACAGTTATGCTTTAGATTGAAATCTTTTTTCTATTTTTACATCCAGAACTGGTATATGAATTTAAGTTGCAGCCTACAGGAAGAGTGATACATGAGGTTGAACTCTTATGATTTTTTTTTTTTAAACCATGTAGTCACCTTCTTAATAAAGATCAGAATGGAAAGGCAACTTAACATCATCCACCCGTGACAATATGTCAGTTTTTGTTTCCCACAAGGACAGATCCCTGTTTACTGCATGTGACAGTTTTAATATACAAATGCTGAAGCAAATCTTTTGTTTGAACTGAAGACTGACAGGAAACCAAACCAATGCTTTCACACAGACCAAGCATCCACTTGGTCAGTTGTCTAGCTGGAGGGTACAGCTCCAGTCGTGCAGCAAGAATGTATCTTGGTACATCTTCAGTGACAGAGCACTGTGGAAATTCTGTGATATTCCCAAAGTATTTTTTTTTCTGTCCTGCAATCAAATAGTATTCTGAAATCCCCCCTTCCAAGCTCAGCTCTCACAACAGTTACATCCCACAGGCAATGTAGAATCCTGGTCTATGATCAAGAAGCAAGCCAGTGACCTGAATAGTGGAAACACAGACCTTCCCTGACCACCCTTCCCACAGCATAAGGTAACAGGACTGCAAGCTGGCACCAAACTGATCAAAATGCTCTGCTCAGTCACTGCTAACCATTACAAAAAATCTCCATGTAAAAAATAGAAATTATTTTAACATGTTTTTGTCCATTTTTTAAGTTAAGTGAAATTTCATGTGACCATCACATACACACGACCACTGAAGTAAGTCTCAAAGGACTTGAAATGGAAAGGTATGAGATCTCAGTGATACAGGATGCCTTCACTTCCTAGCAGTTGGCTGCTAAGACAAACACCCAACCAGGTCTACCAGACAGAAAACATCTCTGGTGTGAAGGCAGCTTCTATCTCTGTGCTTCACTGCCCTGCAAATCAGCATTTGCTTGGCAGCTGAGCAGCCAGCATGTGCATGGCTCCAGCAGGGCAGCTGCTGCTTCTCACCACCTGGCAATTAGGGGAAGTAAAAGCAGGAGGAGTAGGTAGCATGTAGCCACAACAGGATGCTCATTTTTTCTGCTGTTTTTTCACAGAACAGCATTCTGGTTTTGTCTCATGGTTAGCATTAAGGCAAGACGACTAGCAACAACAATTCTTCAAAGCATATGACATGCACATAGATTCAAATTCTAGCTGACATGCAAAAAACTAGAGCCCTTGCCATGCTTGTAGCCTCCATCATCAGACATAGGCATGCTCAGCTGTCCAGGCACTGCAGGACTACTGTTCTTACACCACACGCTTTTGAATTGAGCAATCTGATAAGGAGACCATCGCATGAATGTGAATCTCAGTATCTCCTTTTTACAACCAATAACAACAACTTCATGTAGCTTGACAGCAATAGTAGGTAACAGCTCTACAAATCTTGGTGATTATAAAGCACACACACAACTTCTGCTCTGTCAGTCTGAAATTAGAGGCAGAGAAATCATTGCTCACTCGGAGTGGTCACCTCCTCACTTTCACCCTTTTCAGCACACCATGGATGGAAATCGTCCCTATTTCTCACTTCAAACAAAGTTTGCAGATGTTTTTGTGGTCTTGCCACAACTAAAGCAGAGATTACTATGGAAACAACAGCTGCAACTGTTATGAGTGTGCAGTCACCCTTTCAAAACAGTAAGATAACACTTGCACAGCAAGGTTAAAGCGGAAACATGGTTGACAAGCAGAAGCAGTCCAAGCTGCTCATCTGGGAGCAATCCATGACAGCAAAAGGATCACAAGGAAAATGACCTTCAGAGCTAAACCCAGATTTCCCTGTTCCAAGAACTGATTACTGTGTGAATTCAGTATCTTTGATCCAAGAGAAATAACTAAATTTAATGCTGAAATTCTGTTCAGCAGCCAGTCGTGAGATAACAAATAACCCAGCCCCACCAAACTTCAGCTGCTCCCAGTCTAACACTTGGTAAATGCTCATTAAAAGCAATTCCTGTTGCTGAACCTCTTATTTCAACCCTGACTCTGGAGGAACCTACACAGGAATACTACATTTGGGCAAGAATGCCTGGAAGACACTCATAGTTTGACCCAGGTAAAGAAGAGTTCTTTTTATTCTATAAAAAGAGCTAACAATGGGGTGTCAAGACCTTGATCAACTTCTCACAGGTGCCTTGGGACAGAGACTGTCAAGAAGAGCTGTGTTATCTAAAGGTCCTGTAGCAGATCATCTAGCTGAAGATTCTATCTTACACACTCCTGAAAAAGCACTCTATCAGCACCTGGTGAGGGCTGCATGCAGGTGGCAAGTTTACAATTTTGCTGGAGTCCAGAACTATCCCCAGCACCACACTCCAACAACATCCTGTCCTGAAGCAGTCCTGAAGGAGAGAGAAAGTCAGTGGGTGGAAGCCTCTCCCTCATTAAAGCCTTCTGTAGTTCACATACTTCAGAGTCTTGTGGTGTCTCCCCAGCAGCAGAAAGGATGTAGATTGGATTTCAGAAGCCAACAGCACAGATGGTACACAGAAAAAGATATGATCGAATATGGCCATACTGAACTTTTAAAAGCTGTTGGTTCAAAATTTATCCTGAAAAAGCAGAATAAATGCATTGACAACCAGCCAAGGCTGGAGGGCAGGCAATTCCAGACTGCAGAATTCTGCCCACAAAATAATTGCATTTCTTAAGACAAAGGCCAAGTGGCAAAAAAACCCAAAAAAAACCAACCAATAACCCCAAACCAACCAAAACAAACAGAAAGCCAACCACACTACACCCTCAAGTCATATCAGCTAACATCCAGTAGGGTGCAAGGTACCTCAGGGAAGTCAAGAGTTCACAAACATCCACAATCCTACATGCCAACCAAACACAGAAGACAAATACCAACAGACATGGTTAAGTCTAAACAAAACTCCAACTGCTGTAGGGTGCAGTGTCCTGTCCTACAGCCTGACCATGTAGACTTCCATCTTTAAAAAAAGTCTTTACTTGTTCTTTTTCCTTATATGACATTATATTACTCAGCTCTGTTATTGTTATGTAGCTACAAAGCACTGCATACAATAGGCAAGATTTATCTGCTACAGCACACACAACAGACCTCTGCTATGGACTGCATTGTGGTAAGCCTGGCATATTCTTTCTCCAACATATCCAGCTTCTCCAGTTTCAACTGAACATGTGATTGATCAAGCCGTTCTCTCTCCAATGAATCCTTGAAGGGAAAAGCAAAAAGGACAGTGATTATAAGCACAGCAAAACAAGCACATACATAGCAACTTTATGTCTGAAACATAAGGAAGAACCACAGAACTACTTCACCTGTCCTATTTTAAGTGGAGCTACAACTAAGGAGCAAATAAGCATTGTTGGCACAATGGGAACTCTGCCCATGCTGGGAACCTCAAACCCAGCCAGAATGAGATAAAAATTCTGCAGCCTCGCCTCCCCTTCCTTCCAAACCAAATAGGACAAAAATATTTTATTACTCAATAATTAGAGGCAATTTTCTTTATTTCTTCAGTAAATGTTTAATAGTCTGAAATAGGGGAGCCACAGAAGCTAGTGAACAGAGAGCCCTAGATGATCCACACACCTACAAAAGAAAGTTTAAGCTCATTTCTGATATAGGGCCAATCCCCACAATAACTGGTGATAGGAAAAACAATCCACCATCATTTCAACTTAATATTTCAGATCCAGTTTCTTTTAATTAGTACTTCCCTGATAAAATCCCAATAGATTTGAAGACGAAAAGGGAAGGTTTGTCCATTGACAGCCAGTTATACTCAAAGGCATATGGATGAGCTAAGGCAAGTGAGAATTACGAGAATTACTTGCTGGTATGTGACTCACTTATACCACAGCCTTTGGTGTTGCCATATTCACACATGCACAAAGGTAAACAATACCAGGGTCCTAATAATACTGAAAATCATATAAAGGCCAGCTCAGACATCCACGCTTGAAGGCATGAACTCAAAGAAATAATGACACAGTTCATACAATGATGCTTTTTCCCCCTTTAATCCTGAGAACACACCTGTTTCTCCAAGAGCTGCGTCTTCTCCCTTTCTGCATGCTGGATCATTTTTCTCATGTAGTCCAGCTGTTTCTCTAACAAGCTGTACCGAGACTCAGCAGCTGCCAGCTGAGAAGCCAGTTCTGAAGGTAACAGAAGGCCAAAAAGTAAAATTAAAGTGCTGCTCGTTGGGGTTGGTTTTTTTTGACGTTTTTAGGACACTTCAAAAACAAGCAAGGAAAGCCTCATCTAAAACTCAGATGAAGCTGAATCAACTCATACACTCAAACCCCCAGAACAAAGTTTGCTTTTAAAACAATTGCTTCAAAACCCCATGCTTCACTACAAAGTAAAGAGTCTGAACAAAGTCAGCTGAAACAATTTCATGCAGCCCAGATGAAGCCCAGATTTCATCCACATCAGCGTTCAGTGTTACCTACAGCAACCAACCTTGATTTTTCTTTGACACTTCAGTTCTGTCACGCTCTCTGTGCTGCATTTGCTCACTCAGTACTTTCTTGTAGTCTGCTGTTTCTCTGCTGAGGTGTTTGACATTCTCCTCTGCCTGAAGCCGTTCCAACTCCAGCCGGCGAATTTTTTCCTGAAGATTCCTCAGAGCAGAAAATATTGCTGTAATTGAGTATCTTTTGTTAGTTGCTTTTACGATTCAAGTTGATGTTACCTTGCAAAGTGTGCTACATAAGAAAGCCAGTCCTCCTCCCCACCAACCAGGACTCCCTCCATGAATTATGCTCCCATTGCTCAGCAGAAGCCAGGTAAATATTCTGCAGATTAAGTGCAAACATTGCAACTTCTGACTTTTGTCAACTGGAAATTTAAAGTGACAGCTGAACAATTAAAGCAGTGGCAACTTCTCCATATGTTTATTATGCCTCCACAAGTACATGCAGAAAACATTCCTATTAATGATCACAGAGGAGAACAAAGGTCAGATAAGAGATGTTTATGCCTCCAAGCAGCAGCTAAGCTGTATTACCTCTGCTATACCTGTTATATCCCTCACGCCCACAACACAGATACCCTCTCTGTGCTAACTAATTTCCCCATTTTCTTTTCCCCTCTCTACACCAACAGTTGCTTAAAGCCCTTCTACACTCATCACAGAAAAAGCAGCTGTAACATAACTCTCATCACCTTGCCATCAGAACACCTGCTGGTAACATGAAGCATGATGTCTGTTAGCTGTATTGTTTCATTCTGCAAAGGGAACCATAAACATAAGCCCCTTTCTCTACACAGTCCTATTGACTTATAACATGAGAACACCAGCACAGACAGCTGATAGAGCAGACTTACCTGTGATTCATGTTAGCCCGCTCCTTTGTGCTTAAATTTACTCTAGAGAAAGAAGGCATGAATACAGGAAACACTGAAACTGCATTTTTGGTTGGGCATCACATTAAAAGAAAGGAAAATAGGATGTGTTTTCCAAAGTGAAAAATGCATCAAAGCTTGAAATGTAGAGTAGAACAGAGCAACAAGCCTGCTTGCTATAAGGCAATTTAAATAATTCAGAAGGGAATGACAGCAGCAGTGAAGGGGAAAGTTGTAGATGACCTAATCCAATTTGTAGGACCAGAATCACCCACTATACTCTCTTCTCTTGATATTACCATTACCAGGCCTCAGGTGAAACTGGCAAGGGCAACAGCTAAATCAAAACCTTCAAATATTTACAATAACAAGAAGCAAAACAGATCAGTGAAGCAATTTGAGCAATGAATGGATAAAGGTGGAATCCTACAGGATGCCAAGTATCACTCAGAACAAAGAAATATCCAAGGAACAGTTACTTTGTACCAGCTTTCCTGATTAGAGTATTAAAACAACCCCACCTACACTGAAACAAACACACCACACAAGAGCCCCAATCAAAAACAAGCAGAACTTACTCTGCACAGTTTCCAGGTTTTAGATATGACTTTTTTAGAACAGGGAGGTAAGAGCAGTAAGGAACCTTAAGAACAACCAGATCTATTCTCCCATTTGAAATTAACTCCCAAATCTTTATCCTTTCTAAAATATATACTCACAAAAACGTTAGGTCTTGTAAAGTCGACACAGACAAAAAGAGTAAGATATTTGAGAAACTATCTGTTTGATTTTATTATTTCCTATATGCATTCCTACTTATATATATAGATTTAATAAACCATATCCCTTTTTATAAGTTGCCCCCTACCTGCACTTCTTTCAGAGTTGTGGACTACTTGCTTGAGAAAAGTTGGAAGTAAAAACTTAAACACCAAGAACTCATCAACACAAAACACCATGTACAAAAACACACCTGCATCACTTACAAGTAACCTCCTTGCTGCACATCCAGTTTTTGTGACATACAAGTCCCTCAGTTGAGCCAGAAGCCCTCTCAAACTGCCTGCACTGTGCGTGTCAGAGCATATATTACATTTCATCCAATAGATCATTATCATTAACATCCAGGTCTCTAAGCTCCAACATGAATTACAACATTGGAACAAGTACTTGAGCACAGGCAGCTCACACAGAATCATAAAATAGCTCGGGTTGGAAGGCACCTCAAGGAACATCAAGATCCAAACCCCTTCCACAGGCAGGGCCACCAACCTGCATATCTAACAATAGACCAGGCTTCCCAGAGCCCCATCCAACCTGGCCTTGAACACTTCCAAAGATGGGGCATCCATGACCTCTGGACAGCCTGTTCCAGCACCTCACCACTTCCATAGTAAAGAACTTCCCCCTGATATCCAACCTAACCTTCACTCCTTGAGCTTAAAACCATTCCCTCCCCATCCTATCATTATCTATCCAAGTAAAAAGTTGATTCCCTACATTACAGAAGCAGTCCTGCCTCCTGGCTACCCCAGCTCCTTCCTGTACTCACTTAAGGAAGCATTGGAGAATCCCTCACCATCTTCACCAAACCAAGAGAAAACTAACAAAGAATGGTTTTACTCTTCTCAGGTCAAGCAAAATAAATCTCTTTGGTTTCTGTTCACTTCCAAATTAAGTAGGAAAGAAGGGAGAAAAAGAAGCATAAATAGGAGCAAAAAACTCCCTCTTTGGCACTGCAGAGCTCTCAGTTCAGCACTTTGCCACAAAGCACTCCTTTCTGCCTGTCGTAAAGGCATGACTGATAAACATGCACACCACTCCCTCTGTACATGAGGAACCTTCACATCTCATCAACACCAAACCTCTTCCTTCGCTCCACGCTGTACTGGGAACTGAAGACTTTTTCTACCCACAGGGAGCATCCTTCTCCAGCTGCAAGACAACCTCCTTCACTAGGCTCTCTTCAGAAAGAGAAGCGTAAAGATCTGCAACAGGAAACCTGCACATCACTGGGAAGTGACGAAACAACAAAGAGAGCACATCCTTTGTGTACATACAGCATTTCATACACACTGCCTGGACCCACTGCAAGGTGTTTTGGAAACAGGTAAGAAAACAACTTCATCAAGTTATTACTGCTCAAGGCCAGGCTGGATGTGGCTCTGGGCAGCCTGGTCCGGTGGCTGGCGACCCTGCACATAGCAGGGGGGGTGAAACTCGATGATCATTGTGGTCCTTTTCAAGCCGGGCCGTTCTGGGACTCTATGATTCTTACCTCTGCTGTTGCTCTCAGGATAAGGAACCACAGGTTTCTGCGGGGAGCGCAGCAGATCGGCATTGATGAAGGGCTTGTGCTTCGGGTAGTCCAGGTAGGAGGCTGCAGAGAGTCTGTCTGTGGCCGATGCAGACTTCGGAGCTTTGCACAGCTCACCCTGCGAATAAAGCAGAGGCGTTGCGGCACACGGCTGTCTGTTTCTCTGGACAAAGAAGGCAGAGCGAGACGACGAAGCGCGGAGAGCCCCGTCGCAGCGCACGGCAACGGCTCCCAGGCTGCATTCCTCCCCCGGCAGCCTCGGGCTGCGTTAATTCCACACTGCAGCCTCCTTTCCGCCGCACATAAAGCGCCCCGGAGATAAAGCTCTTCCAGCTAGCTTTTATTTTCTGCTTTTGCTCTGCAGCGTCGCTTACGGCGGAGCCCCGACCCGGAATCAGCCGGGTGCGCGTTACAGGCGCGGGCATCAGCGCAGGAAAGGGGGAAACGCGCTGAGCGAGGGGACAGAAACGTACAACGGCCGCTCGGAAGCGAGAGGTGCCCGTGCGCGGCCCCCAGCCTCAGACCCCGCGGTGCCCCGGCGGTCTCACCGTGCGCTGCTGCCCCCGCGCCGCCGCCGCCGCCATGTCTACCGGAGCCGCGCGCGCTCAGGCGCGGCCTTTTCACGCACGGCCCTTCCAGACCGCGGCGATGGTGCCGCCCGCTCTTGTCACGTGACGCTTGAATGGCGGGGCGGCTCGCCAATGAAAAAGGAAGAGCGGAGGTGAGCACCGCCCCCGAATGCTCGCCGCGTAACGTCACGCATTCAGGTTTGAGTGACGTGCCGGCCATCCAATAAAAAAGAAAAACAATGCTTCTCAGCCAATCGAAGGACAAGAGTCAGTCGAAGGGGCGCGGCCTCTCGTCACCAATCGCGTGAGCCGAGAGAACGAAACCGGGCGGAGCGAGCGGCCGCGGGATTTGTGTGCGGCACGAGAAGCTCTCTGCGCACGCGCGGCGGGCAGGTAGCGGAAGAGGATGGTCTTTGTCAAAGTGAGCCCCTGAACGTCGGCCAATCGGAAAGCAAGAATCCCCCGGGCGGGACCAACCAGCGCCGCGAGCCGCGGGCCACCCAATCGGCGGGCAGCGCAGGACGGCGCGTCCGCGTCCGGATTGGCGGCTCCGAGCGGCGCGGGGGCGGCGATTGGGCGGCGAGTTTTGAAGGCCGGTTTGGCGCGAGGCGGTGATTGGCTGCCGCGGGAGCCCAGAGCCCGGGGCGGAGGGAAGGGCGGGGGGCGCGCGGTGACGCCGACACCGACACAAGGGGGAGGCGGCGCGGCGGCGGCGGCGGCGCGCGGGGCCTAGGGCGGCGCGGGGCGGCGGGAGCGCTCCCGGGCACGGCGGCGGGAGGGGAAGGGGGGGCGCGGGCGGCACCTCGGCTCCGGGCCTCGCCCCGCACCTCCCTCGTCCCCTCCCTCGGGCCCGCCCGCGACCGCCCCGCCGGCAGCGGCGCGGATGGCGGCGGCGGCAGCCCCGGCTCTGTACGCCTGCACCAAGTGCAACCAGCGGTACCCGTTCGAGGAGCTCTCGCAGGGCCAGCAGCTGTGCAAGGTGCCGGGGGGCGGCGGGCGGCGGGCGGGCGGGCGAATCCGCGTCGGGAGGCGCCGCCGCACGAGGGGCGCCGCGGGCGGGACGTGACCGCTGTTCTCCCCCAGGAGTGCCGCATCGCCCATCCCATCGTCAAGTGCACCTACTGCCGCTCGGAGTTCCAGCAGGAGAGGTAGGGCGGCGCCCGGGCCCTCTGGGGCTGGAGGGTGGGCGCTGAGACCGACTGCCCGCACGCCCGAACGCGGAGGCGGCACTGCACCGGGGTCGTGCCGGTGCGGAGTCCCACTGACGTTGGTCTTGTCTTTAGCAAAACGAACACCATCTGCAAGAAGTGCGCCCAGAACGTGAAGCAGTTCGGAACGGTGAGTGGCACCGAGTGGCGCTGCCGGCACCGAGAGCGCGGGGAGGTGGGGGGGAGGGGGAAGGGTTGGGAGAGGCGGTAAGGAATTGGTTTCGGAAAGGCGTGGAGGGAGGTGGGTCTGACCCTCCGATCTGCCGTGCTGAGGTCGCATCTGTAGCGCCGCGTCCGCTTCTGGGCTCCCCAGTTCAGGAAGCTGCTGGACGGAGTCCAGTGGGGGGCCGCGAAGATGATGGTGGGCCTGGAGCGTCTGTGTGAAGAAAGGCTGAGAGACCTGGGGTTGTTCTGCCTGGAGAAGAGAAGGCTGAGAGGGGATTTTGTCACTGTTCATAAGTGTCTGAAGTGTGGCGGTCAAATGGATGGGGCCGGGCTCCTTTCAGTGACGTGCAGCGACAGTTGAAGGGGTAGTGGGCACAAACTGGTACACAGGAAGCTCCATGCAAGCACAAGGAACAACTGCTCTTCTGTGAACGTGACAGAGCACTGGAACAGGCTGCCCAGAGAGGCTGCAGAGCCCCTTTTCTGGAGATATTAAAAACACGCCTGGATGCTTCCCTGTGCGACCTTCTGTAGGGAACCTGCTTTAGCAGGGGGGTTGGACTCAAAGGTCTCCCTTCCAACCTCTGTGATTTTATGATTCGAAGGTGAGAAAGGTTACTGGTAGATTTCCTTCCTGGCTTCCAGTTTGTTTTGTTCGCTTTTAAGTCCCATGTGGTTAAGTGCAGTTTAACAGTCATTCATAACCGTGGTATAGTTAGAAAAAACAATGTTAATTCACTTCATGCGTGTAAAGAAAGTCTTTGCCTGTTCTCACAAACACAACACTGACAGCAGAAGGGCCGTTAGCTGCCTGTGTTCTTTATGAGTGCTAGATGTGGCAATCTAGTCACACTGCGTTGTGTAAGTCTGAAAATTGCTGTGTGTTAATCATATTAAGCTACTAAGTAGGACAGATTTTGAGTGTTAGCTGTATTCGTGTTACTTTGCATTTCCTTGTTTTGAATTTCAGCTTCAGTTCTGTAAGAGAAGTTATTTTTTAGTAGGTGAATGCACACACTGCATCTGTGTGCCCTGCAGACACGAGTTCATGGAAGGTATCAGGGTAATCTCGTTTGTGTAACAAAAGCTCCTAACTTCATCTACTTTAGATGAATTTCAGCTTATTGGAGAAATGTAACAGCTGTTGGCACGTAGGCAGGCATTTAGTGAATGTAAATGTAAACCAAACAAAGACATTTTTTGAAAAGCTTGAAATGTAACATGGTTAAGTACAGTGCAGATCCAACGTTTGTACCTGGGTTTTTGCAATTCCAGGGTGGTTTTTGGCCTTCGAAGGAGTATTTTTGTAGAAAAAGAAGTAAGTACTGGGAGAGAGATGGCTGGAAAAAAGGTTTAAGATGCATCATATGAAGCCACTGTAGTTTAGAAGCATCCTCATCCTGTGATTTGAATTAGCTGTGCTAATGCTTCACAGTTTCTATAATGAACTAACCTCCATTCAATTTGTCTGTTTTTCAGCCCAAGCCTTGTCAGTATTGTAATATTATTGCAGCATTTATTGGCACAAAATGTCAGCGCTGCACCAACTCAGAAAAGAAGTATGGCCCACCTCAAACATGTGAGCAGTGCAAACAGCAGTGTGCTTTTGATCGAAAAGAGGAGGGAAGAAGGAAGGTAAGCTTTGTTCCAGAGCTGTCATGGCTTAGGTTGACAACAGATGTTCCCATTTCATAAGAGACATCTTAATTATGTGCGATGGGTTGAGAGAGGTTACATGTTGTCTAAGCTGAGAATGATTTGTTTCCTAGAAAATGTATTAACCATATTAACCCTTCTGTGATGTAGAGTTTGTCCCATATTTTCTAAGACTGCCTTTTGGCATAATTCCCTATTACAAAAAAGAAGTGGAATAAGATTCACTTTACTGAAGGATAGCATGCATATCTTGTATATACTGTAGTGCTGTTTCATACTGAAGGGATGTTTGGATTTTTCCTAAACATAACATGAATTAAAACTTTTTTGTTTTTGCAAGTATTAAAATATATATTTCTAATGCAAGTATAACTGGGAGAAAAAACCCTTATGAATTATTTCCCAAAAGGTTGATGGAAAGTTGCTGTGTTGGCTCTGCACCCTGTCCTACAAGCGAGTGCTACAGAAGACAAAAGAACAGAGGAAGAGTCTAGGATCTTCACATTCAAACTCCTCATCTTCATCTCTTACTGAGAAAGACCAGCACCATTCAAAACACCACCACCATCACCACCACCACCACCACCGTCACAGCAGTGGCCACCATAAGTAAGTATTTCAAGAAATAGAATGGTTGGAGGTACTTTTTCCAATTGTGTGCTGTTAGGACTGAGGTGAAATGGAAGGAAATAAGAAAGGCCGTTTAACATATGTCATCAAAAGTAGGAGCAGAATGTTTTTCTCCAATTGTCTGTAGAAATCTTTGTATTCCAACAATTTGGATGAAGAGAGGACAGGGAGATGCAGAAATTCTCAGTGACCATCAAACTGCTTGATGTTAAAATTGATAACAGAGAAAAGATGCCCACAGGATGGCCACAGAAAAAGAAGTTACTTAGGGATAAACGTGGATTTCTAAGCAGTAATTACAGTCTGCCAACTGCTATTTTGCATGCATTTACCATAGGCTAAAAGGTGTGTGTTAGCAGATTAATATTAGAGTAACTGCTTCGCTCAAAATCCCCACCCTAACTTACTTAACTGTGCCTTGTTTGTGTGCACATAGTTGTGAAATGGAGAAGGAGAAGAAAAGGTATGAAATCACTATCAGTCTAGGACCGGTGTGCATCTCTTTGCTAGTGATAATCAAATCCTGCAGCATTTCGTTATGCAGGCATAGGAAAATAGCACTCAGTTCAGTTACTGACACAGAGAACATCTCATGTAGTTCTTCTCATCTCCTGCAACATTTTTCTGCATGCCATCTCTGGCTGTGGTAGAAGCAGCATACAACTTTTAATGTAGATACCCAGCTTATCAAATCACAGATCCCAAGATCGATTTGTTTCTTATGCTGTGGTAATAGTGGCCATGATTTTTATTTTCATTGGTAGGCTTTGGGCACGCTTTAGAACTGCTTGATTTATTTTTGTGTTGGATAACAGCTAGTATGGCTGCAGTGGTGATGAGTCCATCACAAGAACAAACTTTCATTCTAAGCTTTGCTTTTCCTTTTTGACTGAAACTTGTTTGGTTAACCATGGCTTAAAGAGAGAGGCAAAATAAACTGGTATTGAGAAATGTTAATATGCTCAATTAAAAAGAAAAATCTAGATTTCTTTAGAAACTTGAAGAAAATTCTTCTTTTCCTTCAGAGAATTACTGTACTGTTCTCTCTAATCTGTGAAAAGTCAAGTTGCAGCAAGCTAAACCTAATGTAATGCATGAGGTATAGTAAGAGTTTTATAAAGTTAGCTCTTTATTGTAGTATGGAGCTTCTAATGTTCTCAAGAGTTAACAAAATGAGCATATCTCTATACAGGTCGTAATGTTGCTTGTTTGGCACCTTTTTTCTGTAGGCTGCCCTGGGTCCATTGCTTCTGGTCCAATAAATAAGACTTTTCCTATCCGTTTCAGTTATTGTTGAGGTGAGAGAATAATACAAGGTAGAAATGAAAAATCATTGAACTATTTGATTCAATGTGGTCTTCTCAGTTTTACTGTTCCTCTGTCAGTGGCATTCAGTGAAGTTATTTTTGAAATGACTGAAGACAGATGTTTAGACTTGAAAGACAGATGTTTTCAGGGATCTAAAACTGAAGGCTGCTCATGTGCTATCACA